AGCCATGAGCCGAGATCGACTCAAGGGCAGTTAACAACAAACGTATCAGTTTAACTCCAGCTGAAAAATCAGTTAAATAAATTTAACAAAAGTGAATTGCGATTTGCCTTCTTTCAGTGCTTTAAAAAAATAAGCAAATACTTGGGTTGTTTACACTACTCCACATCCCAAATTTAAAATCCTAACCTCTCTTTAACCTTGAATTTGATTACATGATCAAAGGCTAAATCCAAAGACTAAAATAAGTTCAAAGCAAATAGACACAACAGTTATACTGGAATATTTTTAAAAAGTAAGACTTGCTCTCTTTGTGAAATCTTCAAATAAGACAAAGGGAAGCAGGAGAGAATTTTCAGCTCCATAGTTTAGGCATCTATGATTGTTGCCTGGCCTATGTAATTTGGAACAACAAATTCTTGGTAAAATTACATGCGAGATCAGCTGGACATAGTTCATCATTTGCAGAAAAGGTCTATTTCATTAGAAAAGATCCCAGTTTTATTTATATCTATATCTATATTCAAAAAAATAACCCCCTCCCTGGGGTCCCTGCCCATATAAAAAACCTCAGCTACTGCTTTTAGTTCCATACACACACATATACACACACACACCCATGAAGGCCTATTAAGCATTTGACCTGATTGCAAGTTTCTTATGTGTTTGGCCTGGATGTATAAAGAGGAGTGGTGGAGAGGCTTACTGTGTTCTACATCACTAACTATCTTATTAAAATAGCCTCATAGTCCATACATGCAATCTGCTACACCTTTAAGCATTTGAAAAATAATGGCCTGGATAGCATCCAGAGCATTCATAGTTAATCCTCAAGAAAAGAATGTCACTAGTTTTTCCACAGAACCCTACATGGGAAACACACCATAACTGAAATCAATATGGACATTCAGCTACTATGTATATCAGGAATTAATTCAGAAAGCACACCTAAGAAGGAAGCTGCTCTGTCAAACTTGGCTTTATACTCCCCATGCTAGTTTAAGGTTCAAAGTTCTTTTTTTTAACAATGTATTCCTTTTAAGCTACATGTTATATCTTGTTATACAAGACTACAGTAGCTCCCAATTACTGCTAGATCTTGGTGTGAAACAGCACGTGTATAGGGGGGAACATAAGCAAACAATATACGTTATTCAAAGCAATATGTAAGCTCCATCTCATTAAAGAGGAATCTCAGCCACCTCCATCTTCAACCCTAACACCTCACCCTTGTCTCCTAAAAGTAGCTTACTGTATCATGCTCTCTTGCTGAGCAACACACATTATGCCATAAGTCATTTTTATGTGACAAGAAACTGCAATTACATGACTTTTTATGTTCACAGACTACACCTGAGGCAAACCTTTTATTTGATTTATACTTTATCCTTGTTCACAAGAACCAAGAGTGGCAAATGACATCTACAATTAAGATCATTACTCTAAAAGCACAAAGGTTTTCCATGTCAACTAGAAAAGCCTCCAAAGCATTCAGGAATCCTTTGGCCACTGCAGATCCAGGACACTTGAGGAGGTGGACTATTCTGATCAGTTTCTGGCCCCTGCAGGGGACATTCACGACAGCCAACTCAAAAATTATGAGACAGAGAGCCATCCAAACAGACATCCTCCCATTGCTATCAGATCATTCCCAGTCAGTCCTGCAGTGGATGTCCCTCCCAAACAGTCTGCTCCAGTTAAACTATGAAAGGGTTTTAGCAGGTCCACTGTCTCTCAGACCCTATATGGTGGTTGTTGTATTTTCAAGACAGGAATTTTCTGAATATATCCCTGACAGTCTGAGCTTTCAAACCTCTAAAAGCTCCTCTTCTTGCAGCTTCAGTTTATAGTGCATTTGGGAAACAAACAAAAGTTGGTTCACAGCCAGCTCAAAACATTTTGTTGTCCAGGACAGAGCAGCCAATGGTGTTTCCTACCCAAATCAAGGAATAAACTACTTAAAGTCAGGTATTATGCCGCATGAGGCATAAAATCATACAAATACTTCCTACCTTCCTGGCTATTATTATTATTATTATTATTATTATTATTATTATTATTATGTTTTCAGTTAATATGACTCCATCATTTGTTTGTTTGTTTTGAAAAAAAGTAAATACATCTAACCTGGAATACATCCTAATAGTAATAGATGTGTGGTGAGTCCATCTACAATGAGATATATTTCATCCAAAGTTGGCAGAACTTTCTAAGCTATTTTAACAGTTTCTTAAACTCTGACATTAGTGAGCCCAGCATCATACTATATGTAGCCTCCAGCAATAAAATTGGCATGGGGGAACTTATCCTCATCCAAGGCCTCAGAAATCGTGTGATGAAGGGGATCATGATGGGCATCATATGACTATATCAGAAAACCATGAAGGAGGGGGAAATCCCATAAATTTACATCTACATATACACAAGACTTCCTGATCAGTAACAGAATTCAGAAAAACACTCAAATGTTTTTTACAATGAAGATACTGAGAGATCTTAATAACAGCAACAATGATGATGATGATTGATCCATTAACTACTGAAAACACAAAGTCATCAGTCACTTTCAAATTTTTAAGGCACACAATCAGATACTATATCTGTTTAAGTCCCACAGAGTATTGTGGAATTTATATATCACATTAAATGAGCACCTGTTATTTATATGGAGGAGGGCTTGGGAAATGGAGAATGTCATAAGGTCAGTTATGAGTAGATCATCCTACACATAATATACTTGCTGGTTTTGGTGGCAGCAAGACATTCAATGCATCATAGTTTCAAGCTTAGTTGCAGTTTCAAAATCTAATTTAAAAGTCTTCTAAATTCAATGAAGTAACGATTATCCAAAAACCGTGATGGATTCATGAAGACTCTATGCAGACAGGCAGGATAGGTCAGGTCATTCCCAGGGTGGTGTGATAACAGGCTGATGTTTACAGGCCCAGCCTCCACACCATGGACCCATACCTGCCTCTGCTGTTGCATCTTCACTTTAGACCCCCATCATGATCCATAACTACAGAAACAGGCTGCCTGGCTTCACCGATGTGGTCAGGTGCCCCCATCCAATGTCACAGACCATGACAGGGGTCTTAAGACACAGTGGCAGATGAAAATACAGGGAACACAGGGCTGAGCAGTGTGCCTGCTGTCGCCGCAGAGTTCACAAAACTCTGTGGCAAACTGTGGGATTGGTGCCTTCACCAATAGCCTATTTGTTGTTGTTGTGTGCCTTCGTTTCCAACTTATGGCGACCCTAAGGTAAACCTATCATGGGGTCTTCTTGGCAAGTTTTTCAGAGGAGGTTTGCAATTGCCATGCTCTATGGCTGAGACAGTGTGACTTGCCAAGATTACCCAGTGGTTTTACATGTCTGAGCCAGGATTTGAACCCTGGTCTCCAGAATCCTAGTCAAGCACTCAAACCATATATACTTTCTGCAAAAACAACTGAGAAAAATTTAAAAAGCAAACCTAGACATAATAGGTACAATTGCAAATATTGATTGATTACCCAGATCCAAGGTACTTGATGCACAGCAATAAACTACACACTAAGCGTTACTATCCAGGTGAGAATTAGCAGGCAGGTAAAAAAATGGATTTTGACATGTAGTAATGAACTGAGCCAGTGTGATATAGTGGTTTGTGTGTGGGACTAGGACTCTGGAGGTCAGGGTTCGATTCCCTGTTTGGCCATGGAAACCTGCTGGGTGAGCTTGGGTGAGTCACACATTCTCAGCTCCAGAAAATCCCATGACAGGGTCACCTTAACATCATTGTAACTTGTAAGTGACTTGAAGGCACACAAAATCAACTTGGGGCTGTCTACAAATATTTGTGAAAACCATGAAGAATCTTATGACATCTTAGATTTCATTTGCTTGCCCACTTCCTCAGATGTTAGCGTGGGATTGCAGAAATATTGGGGAGAGCGGATATGGGTTGCTTTTCTGCTGTTTGCATTTCCTGGTTTGCTGTTCATCAAAGCCTGTACCAAATACAACCTGATATTCTTTAAAGTGTCACTAGACTCTTTCCTGATTTTTTTACAAGTTTTCCAAAATGAGAACTTGTAACCTACCCTCTATTGTCATTACCACTTCCAGGAATTCTAACAGCAAGAAAGACACTTGAATTAAATTACTTAAATTAAAGTTGTAATTCCATCTTCAGTCTGTGATGATACCAAACACCCTGGTTGAAATTTCAGACTTATTGTGAACTGGGATACACTGTAGAGAGACAATAATGAACTATAAAGTTCATTGCTGAATTATTGCATATAATTAGAAGAAAGATTTCTGGAACTTCCATTTTTTAACTGTGTTTATTGCAACCCAGAAGTGAAAATTTGCAACTTTTAAAGCTTTCAACTCCCATCTTTAATGTGTGATACTGCTTCTACCATCATCCAGAGTTTGGGGGTTCAGTGTATTGAGTATGTTGATGACACACAATCCTATCTCTTTTTTCCATCCAATTCCAAGGAAGCTGTTTCTGTACTAAACCAGTGTCTTTTGTCAGTAATGGACTGGATGAGGGTGAACAAATTGAAACTTATTTCAGACAAGACAGAGGTGTTCCTGGTCAACTGGAAGGCATATCAGGGAACAGGGATTCACCCTGTGCTACATGGGGTTACACTATCACTGAAAATCTCAGTCTAAGAGCTTAGGAGTGCTCTTAGACTCTGAACTGAGTCTGGATACACAAGTTTCACTTGTTGCCAGGAGTGCATTTCTACAGTTAAAACTAGCACACCAGCTGTGCTCATTCCTTGAGAAGTCAGTTCTGGCTAGAGTGCCACATACTTTGATTACATCCTATTTGGACTACTGTAATGTGCTCTACATGGGACTGCCTTTGGAAACTGGAAACTTCAGCAGGTCCAAAATGTGGCCAGGCTGTTGATACGGGTAGGTACAGGGATCATGTAACACACACACCATTGAAACAGCTGTGTTGGCTACCAGTTTATTTCCAGGAACAATTGTTGGCTACCAGTTTATTTCCAGGCACAATTCAAAGTGCTGGTTTTGACCTTTAAAGTCCTATACGACTTGTTTCCGGACTATCTGAAATACCGTAGCTCCCTATATAAGCCAGCACCATGCTTTAAGATCTGCAGGGAAGGGCTTTTTCTCAGTCCCACCACCTTCTTGGGTGTGGTTGGTTAGGCCTTGGGAGAGTCTTCTCTGGGGATGCTCCCAGACTGTGGAATTCCCTTCCATGGGATGTATGATTGTACTCCTCCCTGCTCTCTTTCCGCTGGCAGGTGAAGGTGTTTTTATTAAGTGGGGCTTTTGAAAGTTTTTTTTGTGGGTTTGTCGGGCTGTATGGCCATGTTCTAGAAGAGTTTCTTTCTGACGTTTTGAATTTTTACTATGGAGCTGTACTGTGTGTGTAAATGGTGTGTTGCATTATTTAATCTTTATTGTAACTATATTTTAAATATGTTTTAAGTATTTTTAGCTGTCTTAATCATGCTTTTAATAATCCTGATAATTAATTCTTTTTAACTTTTGAAATTAATGTTTTACCTGGATCCCTGGTGGCGCAGTAGTTAAATGCCTGTACTGCAGCCACTCACTCATAAACCACAAGGTTGCGAGTTCAATACTAGCCAAGGCTCAGGCTTGACTCAGGTCTGCATCCTTCCAAGGTCGTTAAAATGAGTACCCAGCTGTTGGGGAGCAATGAGCTTACAGTTGTAAACCACTTAGACATTGCATAGTGCAGTATGAAGTGGTATATAAATGAAGCTGCTTTGCTTTGCTTTACTGCAAGCCACCTGGAATCTCATTTTGGGAGAAAGGGAGAATATAAATCCCATGAGTAAATAAAAAAAATATGTGAAGTATAAAAAGAACCTGACAGAACATGATACAATTTTGCTAAAGAATCAAAATTATCACTGGTGGCACTTCAACAACAGATCTCTGCGCAATGATTATGGATCAACAACACACCCCATTATATTAAATCTTAAAAACAAAGGCTGTAATAGTTAGTATAAGTACTAATTAGAACTCTGCGAGATTTACTTCTCAGTAATAAAATCCATACATAATGTTTACATATTTAGCCACCACATTAATGATAAACTAATAAATATATAGCAAAAGAGTACTGGAACAACCAGTACCCACTTAAGCTTGGCATGTACATATACACACAGTTCTGACAGCAACAACTTTGAACTTTATTAACATACATATTATACATCTTTTGAAGAACACATATAACAATTAATTAGCAAAGAAGATTCACTCCACATAAAGCTTTAGAAGGATATCATTACTTTTTTAAACTATATTTCCATTCAGGCTTGACAGTTTTAAAAGATGGATTATTTTATTTCTCCTACATTAGGAAGCATCACATATATGAAAGATGCAGACTCATCCTGCATCAGTCAAAGTCCATGCAAAAGGATGGTGGAATTTGCAATCCAAAAGCATTTGAAGACCTATATGTTTCACATCCCCTGATGTACATTGAACATGCTCCTAGCTCAAATCTTAATTTTAAACTACTAGAGATTTAAAAAATCCTGTTTTAGGGACATCTATGTTGAAACCATTATCTTTAACAAAACAAAGACCTAATAAAGCAAATGCATCCTAATACTACAGCCAGCCTGAATTCTGAATTATGAAAAAGCAGGATCTAAATATTTGAATTTAAAATACAGCATTAAGTCATGTCGTGTACAATTGAGCCTACTGATTTCAAAGCACTAAGCGTACTGACTCAAGTTGCGGTCCAACTCTGTTTAAATTAAACATGGATTAATTACTCCAAAGCAAGGGTGGTCAATTTCCAGTGTTTGGAACAATATCATCCCCCCAGGGAAATTTGGAGGGCTACCCATACCACATCCACAATTTATAAAACTTGGAGGGTGGCCTCTGAAAGCAGTTAACTGCACTGGTTGATTTCTGGTTTACTTCCTTGTTAGGAAAATGCCTCTCCTGAACCTAAAATGACCCAGGGATCCCCTAGCATACAACAAAATGGCCCCTATGGCCTTTAGGAGATGTTGGGAGCATTTTGTCTCCAAAAAGTTGATTCTTTCCCCTTAAAACTGAGGGGTTTATAAGGCCCCAGGGACTTAAGAGGTAGCCTTGTGGGACTACTCCCTGTTCTCACCCTTGCTCCAAAGTAAAAGGAGTAAATATTCAAACCAAGCTCCAGAATGCTACTATTTCTTGCTGAATTACAACTGAGATTAAGTTTAGACGAGGAATCAGTTTCAATGGCAACAAAAACCAAAGGCTGCTCTCTAACTGAAGAGTCATGCATACTTGACAGAGCTGACGCTAGGGAAACTTATTAGCAACAGTAAAGTCAGAGATTGGACATACTCCCAAAAGTGAAGTACATAGGAAAATGAGTGGATGGTACAGCAGAGCAGCAAAAAATTCTCTTGCACACATAAGGAACATTCTGGAGTAAACCCAGAGTACTGTGGAAGTTCTGCATAGAGATCGTGAGAAAGTTCTTGCCAGTAGCTAAAAGAGGGTTGAATATATTTAGATGCAAATGAAAAGTAAATGACAGCCTACAACCAAGGCTACTAAGGAAAACCCCTTTACAGCTTTTCTGTATTTCACGAACATCTCACTATAAATTAATTGTGATGTCTGCTTTTGAGAAGAAGCAGTTTCTGGGCTATTTTACAGTCACATCCGTACAGTCATACCCTATCAAAATGCTGGCTTAAGAAATGCATTTACATATTGCAAGCCATGTTGGCAGTTCTGTGCAATGTCTCATGTTCAAGAAGCCCATGTGTAAGAAAGCAGGTATGAATGCCTTTTCCAACAGGGTTGTTAGGGGTTTTTTGGGGGGTTTTTTGCTACATTTTACTGCTAAAAATCTGAAAGGTGACAGTTTGGTCCTAAGAGGGAAAGGAGGAGAAAGAGGAGAATTTATATTGGTAATTTCAAGCATTCAAAGTGCTTCACAATCATTTCAGTAAAGATTGATTTAAGAGCCTTATCACATAAGAAAAGAAAGTTAAAATGGCATGGGAAAGTAGCAGCTTTCTCTGTGCCTGCCCACATGCCATCATAGTATTTTCCATGGGAGAAGGTCATAAAAGCATGCCTATTGTCACACTGGAAAAAATCAATTTGACAAAAGGTATGCATTTATTACTGTCTCCCTCTGGAAGAGAAGGGAAGTGCTACAATGGCATGTGGAAAGGCAAGGAGAAAGCCACTACTCTCCCAATACATTTCAGTTTTCTTTTCTCATGTAATAAGGCTCTAACTCTATAAAGCAACCAAAAATGATGTCAGAACTTGTAAAGAATTTTCGAAAGGTATACCTCAGTTAACAAAGTAGATGTGTTCCTGCATATTACTTTTTTAACAGAAAATTTGGAACCAGAGGTAGAAATGACATGAAAAGAACAGGGATAAATTCTTACACCAAAAAAGATGAAAAATGGGGGGGGAAAGAAGAGCTGTTCATATTTCAGTTACCTAAAACTAGCAAAAGGCACACATGAAATGAAGCAACCGGCTAAAACTTGTAAACATAAAGAAAAACAAAAGTCTTCTACAAAAAACACAAACAAACACAGCAACCCTGGCTCAGAGTAAACAACATAGTTACAAAGGAACAACTCTGCAGTTCACAGAACAGAGTAAATACCAACTGTAAAATCAGCCAGTTCACCCAGATG